CTGCATACTCCAGATTGCCGGCTGCTGCCCCTTCACCAGAAGCTTGGCATCTATTTCCAGTAGAAAGGGGAAGGGAAGTTGTCATGTCAAACACAATGCTTTCAACACCACGCTCAGCTTCAACAAAACAGCAAAGCTATCATGGAAAATACAAAGCCCAGTAAGATCCTGTTATTCCTTGGTCCCACGTCCCTGGTTTCCATCCGAACATGGAGCTTTCTCACCCTCAAGGAGCTGCCCAATTCCCCATCTGGTTTTCACTAATGTCATTTGAGGAAGGGAATCTGCCGTCCTTACCTGGTCTGGCCTACATGTGATTCCAGAAGCTAGTTAACTATAACTGCCCTCTGGGGCAATTAAGGATGGGCAATAAATGCTGGCCCTGCCAGTGACACCCACATCCCTGTGAATGAATAAAAGCCACCTGGGACCTTCCAGGCGTAAGGTTTCCTGGTTTGTTAGGCTCATGTTAAAAGGATACGGTAATAAGAACATAAGAACTAGGAGCAAGAGTAGGCCGTCTGGCCCTTCGAGCCTGCTCCGCCATTCAATAAGATCATGGCTGATCCTTTCATGAACTCAGATCCACTTACCCGCGTTCTCACCATATCCCTTAATTCCTTTATTGTTCAAAAAAAATCTACCTTTTTTTAAAAGCGTTTACTGAAGTAGCGTCAACGACTTCACTGGGCAAGGAATTCCACAGATTAACAACCCTCTGGGTGAAGAAATTCCTTCTCAGTTCAGTCCTAAATCTGCTCCCTCTAATCTTGAGGCTATGCCCTCTTGTCCTAGCTTCACCTGCCAGTGGAAACATCCTCTGTACTTCTATCTTTTCTATTCCCTTCATAATTTTATATGTTTCTATAAGATCCCCCCTCAATCTTCTGAATTCCAATGAATATAATCCCAATCTACTCAGTCTCTCCTCATAAGCCAACCCCCTCAACTCCGGAATCAACCTAGTGAACCTCCTTTGCACCCCCTCCAGTGCCAGTACATCCTTTCTCAAGTAAGGAGACCAAAACTGCACACAGTACTCCAGGTATGGCCTCACCAGCACCTTGTACAGCTGAAGCACAACCTCTCTGCTTTTTATTTCAAACCCTTTAGCAATGAAGGACAAAATTCCATTTGCCTTCCTAATTACTTGTTGTACCTGCAGACCTACCTTCTGTGATTCATGCACAAGGACACCCAGGTCCCTCTGCATAGCAGCATGCTGCAACTTTTTACCATTCAAGTAATAATCCTTTTTACTATTACTCCTACCAAAATGTATGACTTCACATTTATTTACATTGTATTCCATCTGCCAGACCTTTGCCCACTCACTCAATGTGTCTATGTTCCTCTGCAAAGTTTCACAGTCCTCTGCTTCCCTCTTCGTACTCTTTCCCTCAGAGGAATCGGGATAACAATGTAAAATATAAAAGCTGCAGTTTCATCCCCTTACCTCTTGGGCTGTGACACAGTTGAGGAATTGCCTGCAGGGAGAGAGAGAACATTCTCAGCCTATTGCACTCTTACAGACAGGAGCTGCCAAGACCATTACTCAGTCATAAACAGAGAACAAACACATCAATAGATGAGAATTGTCAAACCCATCTTAATGCACATTAACCAGCTGTGAAAGGGAGAGGGTGAGGGTTAGGGTTAATGTGTGAGTGAGGGCCAAGGTTAGACTTAGGGCTAGGGTTAGGGTCAGTGATAAAGTTTAGGGTTAGGATTCGGGTAAAGGATTGGTTTAGGGTTCAGGTTAGCATGAGGGTGAAGGATTGGTTGAGGGTAAGTGTTGGGTTAAGTTTACGGTTGGGGTGAGGCTTAGTGTTCAGTTTAGGATTAGGTTTCAGTTTAGGATTAGGTTTAAGTTTAGGATTAGTGTTCGGGTTTTAGTCAGCATTTGGCTGAGAGCCAAGATTAGAGCGAGTATTAGGGTTGGGTTTAGGACTAGGTTTTAGTTTAAGGTTAGGTTTGAGTTTCGGCTTAGGGTGAGGATTAGCGGAAGGGACTCGAGGGGGCTGAATGGCCTCCTCCTGCTCCTGGTTCACATGATCTTATGTCTCTCCTCCTCTGAGGTGACACGGAGTGGGGTAGTGATCACATTTACCCGATCCAGGAGGCTAACTTTGTGAGTGCTCTTCCTCCCTACTGTCAGGAACACGGCCTACCCCAGTTCCTGACCCATCACCTCCTTCCCCGGGTCCCCCACCCTCACCCTGTTCAGCTGAAAAGGTTACACTAGGGCGGGGACGGCAGTGCCATGCCCCGGGGAACAACCCATCCCCGTGGGACGTTACAGACCTGTGTCCCTCCTCCGGTGGATGAACCACACCGACGCGATCAGGCCACCGAACAGCAAAACTGGGACGAGCGAGGCCGCGATCTCCGTGGAATAACTCCGAGCTGAAATCCAACAACAATATCCGGCTCACGTTAACAAATTCACCGGGAAGTTTTACCACATCAGCCCCGTGTGAGGTACACGGTTAGCATCAGACTGACT